GTGCCTACCACCTTTGGACAAGAAATTCCTCTTCCAACTAGCTAATCTTCTCCCAAATAATTCCACAACTGGCTCCCATGTTTTCGGGTCCTTGTACTTAGCCCCTAGAGGGACACCAAGAACAATATTACTGATACTAGATAGGCTATATCCTTTATAGACGATCATACAAGAATTACATAGTTATTTCTCATAAAAAAAAATCAAAAGTTGGACATATATTCATAAATACTCAACAACATGGTCCAAACTCAATTTGAAACGAAAAATAAAAGTTTTCAAAACAAATAATGCAAAAGAATACTTTGAAAAAGAAATCGGTAATATCTTAAAAAAGAGGAGATTGCTGATCAAAGTTTATATGTTAATACCCCTCAACAAAATGGTATAGCTAAAAGGAAGAATAGACATCTTTTAGAAGTTGCTCTGTCCCTCGTGTGCACAACTCAAGTTCAAAAAGTTTTCTAGGGGAAAGTTGTTCTACCTGCAATTTACTTTATCAATAAAATGTTTTTCCGGGTACTTGAGTTTCAATCATCCTATCAAGTTATACTCCAATACTTTCCTGCCACTCGACTTCTATCTACACTACCTAAGAAATATTTGGTTATTCAGTTTTTGTTCACATACACAATCATCACAGGAGCAAACTAGAATCTAAATTAATAAAATGTATTTTTGTCGGGTATTCATCAAATCAAAAGAAACATAATTGTTATTCACCAGTCACCCAAAAGTTTTATAACTCCATAGATGTCGCGTTTCGTGAAAAACAACCATACTACAAAATTGATATTCAGAGAGAGAAGAATAGAAAAATCTCAACTTTGAGACTCTACCACCGAATATCTTCTTCATCCTCCAACTAAACATATTCAGTCTCCAGAACATAGATCAAGATAAGACACCTAGACCTGTACCTACTCACCATATTGAAAAAGCTAAAGTTTGGGTCTACAGCAGAAGAGCAATAACTAAGAAAAGAAAGAGACACAACCACCTTATGAGAGTCATGAAATCCAATCCGGATCAAGATCTAGTATCACTGGATACTTCAAATATTCCAAGTTCATACCTCTCTCTTATAATAGACCTATTGCTCTAAGAAAACAAAAAAAGAGCATGCATTGATCATTCAATTCATAATTTTGTTTCACAGAAAAGTCTATTTTCAATTCATCAAGCATTTCTTAATAATATTTATACAAGTACCAAGGATGAAAATTAAAGCACTAAAAAGTACCCGAATGGAAAATTGCAATCACGGTGGAAATCCAAACCTTAAAAAAGAATAGAATTACGGATATAGGAGAATTACCACTTAAGAAGCACCCAGTAGACTGTAAATAGGTGTTCATAATCAAGCACAACGTTGATAGTAGGACCAGTAGGTTTAAAGCTCGATTAATAGCCAAAAACTTTACTCAATCCTATGAAATCAATTATCTAGAAACGTTTGCACCAGTAGAAAAGCTTAATACAGTTTGGATACTAATGTCCAAAATTATCAATATGGATTGATCACTATTCTAACTAGATGTGAGAATAATTTTCTTAATGGAGAACTAGAGAAAGAAGTCTATATGGAAATACTACCTAGCCTTGAAAGTCAACCCATTAACAGAAAGTCTACACACTCAAAGAGCCCATTTATGGATTCAAACAATCTCAAAGAGCATGGTTTGACAAATTCACTAAGGTAATCGAGAGGCTTGAATTAATTAATGCTAAACAAATTATACTACGTTTGTCAAGCATGATCTTTCAAGAAAAAGGATAATCCTCATCGGATATGCAGATTATACAATAATTACAGAGGATGACACAAAAGAGACACTCAGATTAAAAAAGTATCTTGCCTGAAGAATTTGAGATTAAAGACCCAAGAAATCTTAAATAATTCTTGAGAATGGAAATTGCTAGGTCAAATAAAAGAACCTCAATTTTTCAGCGAAAATGTGTTGGATTTTCTAAAAGAGAATGAAATACTTGGATGCAAGCCTGCAGGCACACCTATTGATCCCAACATTAAACTGGGAAGTAAAACTAACAATGTTCCAGTTGATAAAGAACGATACCAACATCAAATGGATAAATTGATTTACCTCTCACATACCAAACCAGATATCAAATTTGTCATCAATATGGTAAGTCAATTCATGAATAACTCAACTGAAGAACTTACGTAGGATGCTTTGAATTCTCAAGTATCTAAAAATGACAGATTGACCAATAATATTTTTCAAAAAAAACAGAAGCCAAGAAATTGAAATATATAGTAATGCAGAATGAGTTGATTCTATGACTAATAGAAAATCCAACTCTAGATATTCTACATATATCTGGGAAAACTTAATTACTTGGAGAAGCAAGGAGCAGTCCGTGGTATCAAAGAGTAGTTCTAAAGCTGAGTTAGAGCTTTAGCACATGGTATTTGTGAAGAAATGCGGCCACAAAGGGTATTGGATGTCCCTCTTTAGAGTCTATAAAAATGTTATGTGACAATCAATCCACAATAAACATAACAAAGAACTCAGTTCATCATGATCGAACTACGTATGTAGAGATTGATAAACACTTTATTGAAGAGAAGATAGAACCACGAGAACTATCTTTGTGGCACATGTGGAGTTACCATCAAACCGCAAATATTTTCACCAAGGCATTATCTAGGAAGACTTTCAAAGAATTGAGTTTTACGTTTGGTTTGCTCAACATCTTCAAATCAGCTTGAGGAGGAGTGTAGGTATCCAACGTCTTGTAGCAGGAACTAGAAGCAAAATCATAATCAACTTTCATAACTAGAAATTATTTTCCCTTTATAGGACTGATTTATATTTAGTTTCCTACTAAAGTTCTCTTTAATCATCTCTTATACATATCCAGCTATTGTAAATTAAATATCATGAATAGAAATTCAGTAAATAAAAATTTAATTAAAAACTTCCAATTACTTTCTTACTTTTCATTTGATGAATATTACATGAATAGAACCAATATAATGTTGCCACACAAACTCTTTAACACCTGGATCAAGACTAGACACATTGTTAAAATGCATTTTTGTTTCCAAAAGCCTTTAGAGGCTGAAACATGGACCATCAAATTTTGCTCCCTGCCACTCAACGGCAATTTATGGCAGATGATTTTGAGGAAAAAATCATTTGTCAATTACAGTGACCAGAGAAGAAAATGATTTTTCTCTTATGAGCAATGGTCAAATTAAACAATCGAAACTTATTGTAAATATGAGGAACATAATACGGAAGATGCAAACCCCAGAATACATGCAAACGGCATTGGCATTAAAGATGATAAATAACATTTGAAACCAGAGAAGTTCAGTTTTACAATGGAACAGCACAACAACTAGACCACCAGTTACCACAGAATATGTTACAGTTCCGATTTACATATCTCGTTATAGGACGATTAATCCGAATCAGTAGGTAACAAAGGTTGCTTTTGTGTTCTTTACCTTACCTTAATCTAAATACATGGAATTATTAAGAGAGAATCCAACGATATCTTGAGTAAGATAATTATTCAAAACTTGTAAATTAATTCTTCCTTCAAATTCTGCAAAGAAAGACAGCTTGGTCTTTTAATACAAAGAGAGGCAGTTATGCTGGAAGTTATTTTCATAACTACACATAACTGCCCATGTTCCTTATCCCAGCCATATCCCTTCTTCCTTTCTACCACACACCCTACTGCTCCCCAATACAGCACAAAAAAAAAAAAGAGAAGCAGTTATTTTGGGGGTTATTTTCCAGAACAGCATTAACTACCCATTTGTTTCTCCCTAACTTTCTCCTACTAACACTCACAATAATACTTCATAAAAATACAACAAATAGACCTACGAAATAGCACTATTGTGCAGCACATACACCTATCTAATAAAGCCATAAGCAACACACATAATACCACACAAACAACTATCTACTATTTACATAATTTCTTCTTCCTTCTTTAACACATCTTTTTTTAAAAAAAATAAAAGTATGATGTCCTTCTTTAACACATCTTATGAAAGGTGTTATTTTTCAACTTATGTACCTAACAGAGTAGAGATATGCCAAGATGAACAGACAACTTTTTACTAATATGGCAAGTCAGATAATTCGCCAATTGAAGGAAAAAAGTGCTTCCAAATTAAGCCATCACCAATATGCCAGATATCAATCAAGTTCATAAGATTAGCACTTACCTACAAGAGATAATACTACCAAGATAATTCCACCCAATTCAATGGCTCTGCGGCTTCCCATTTTAGTCACAGCAATAGTATGTACATTTTCTGTCAGACTTGTGGACCCAGTCCCTGTACCCCAGAGACCAGCCAAGACACTGCACAGACCTTCAAGACCAATTGCTCGACTAACAACACCTGGCGTTGGAGGTCTGGAAGCCACCAGCAATGACGACGCATGGTAGGAGCCAACCTAAGAAATCCAAAAGCCAAAAGGATATTGAAGTTTACTAATGACTAGACTGTTTTTGCAAAGATAGAGTAATAAGCAGTTGACACAATAAAAGCATGATATTTACTGAAAGGTAAATATGTTATTTCCTGATATTACAAAAGAATTTTTGTTATAATTGTTCAGAAATAGATGTTGCTCCTACATAACTTCAAGAATTAGAAAAATAGTAGAAAAGTCTCCTTGAATATTAAGCTAATTGTAATATCCAAGGATGCTTTGAGCAGGACGAAAGTGTCAATGGAAACCTGGAATAATGATAAAATCTATTGATTGCAGATTGATTAATCAAGTAATTCTAGATGGAATCATTATGAGCAAGACCATAATATCCATTCATATTTTAGCAGAACAAATGTGGAATTAGAAAAGATTTTTTAAAAAAAGGAAAACCTAATCACAACGAAAAATTGTTAATCCAATAGATTGAAACGTAATAACAATTACAGGATTGTCACAACCAAAATCACAAGGCTGATAAGGCACTCAATCCTGAGAATATAGAAAAACAATATAATAATAAGAGAAAAAATAGGGCAGAGAGGAGGATAAGGCAGCAAATGAAAGAAAACAAAAAATAAAACAATATGAGGCAAACATCAGTAAAGAATATGCAAAATAGACAAAGGCAAAACCCTTAAGTCACCACGCCTCTTAGCCTATCAAGAGGCCATGTATGCAAATCATTATATCCTCAATAAAATCTTCAGAATTGACACAGTGATTGAAGATCTTAATATTACACCCAAGACATAAAAAAACCAGCACTCAACAAAAAGGGTACCCCTCCATAAAGTAGCATCTCAATCTAAATTGAAAGAAACATATGGAGATCCAAGAAATATTCAATCAAAATACATTAAAGAACACTAACCGAATCCACTGAAGATATTATGGATGCCACACACATAACAAGAGCCATTTTCCAGTTGAAGACAGGAATTCCCCATTGTAGTGGATATGGGAATCTAAACCATGGAGATGATCGCAATGCGTGAGAAGTATCAACTCGACAGTGCTTCATCTCGAAACATGTTTTCTGCA